TTTGATATCGGATTTGAACCTAATTTTATACGTGCTTTCCAAAAAGGCGACAAAAGAATCCCAATACATATGGTATCCTTAAAACGCTCACCAAATGTTAAAGACATTTTCACTATTAGCAACCTATTTTACGTTAAAGTCATAGTAGAACCGTACAGATCATCCGGCCCAGCACAGTGCTTTTCGTGCCAACGATTCGGACACTCTTCTCTACAATGCGGCCACACACCTCGCTGTGTTAAATGTGGCAACAATCACGCTAGTAGCGCATGCACTAAAGATAAAGATACAAAAGCCACCTGCTGCAACTGCAATGGAGACCACACGGCCAACTACCGAGGCTGTCCTTCATATACAGAGATCGTCAAACAAAAATCCACTCAAATACAAAACTCGTTTAAGAAGAATAAACCCACTGAAATCCTATCAAAAACCTACGACCTGAACACCAGCCAACAACCTGCGTCTCACAAAACATACTCAGCTGTCACCAAAAATACAACAGGAAGTCACAATCCAGATAACATTAGAAACACACTAAACCCAACTACAGCAAAAGAACCTACGATATCCGCTACCCAAATACTAAAGATCATTAAACAACTCCTTTCTACCATCCAAGACTGTGTAGACAACTTTGCCAAGGAAACCATCCTATCTACAATAATGTCAATAATAGACTCAGTTTCCCTAAACCAAGATGGATGAACTGAGAATACTACAATGGAACTGCAATGGTATAACAAACAAAACTTACGAACTTGCAGAATTCACTCGGAAAAACAAAATTGACATCATACTACTCGGGGAAACCCGCCTAAACGAAACAGCCCCTCTCAAATTACCAAACTACTACACATATCGAACAGACCGTCCACCCAAACCTGAGTGCCCCTCATCTGGTGGCACAGCAATACTAGTAAAAAATAACATAATTCATGAAGAAATCATCATTAAAACAAAACTAGACTCCACCACTATCGCCATGGCAATAGGCGCAAAAACCGTACGTGTATCGGCAGTATATAAAAGTCCAGGAGATAAGATTGAAATCAAAGACATCGATGCCCTAACCAATGGTACCGAATCCTTTATTATAGCAGGCGACTTAAACGCAAAACACCCATCATGGCACAGCAGACGAACAAACCAGACGGGGAAAATTCTACTGGACCATATGGAAAGGAACGGTCAATACACCATTTGCGCTCCAGATTCACCAACCCATTTTCCATTTATACCACACCACAACCCTGATGTACTGGATATTACACTAACAAACCTGCAACAAGATATGACAATATCAAATTTCAACGATCTCTCTTCAGATCACAACCCAATCCTAATTACTATCAACAAATCACCTAAAACAAACACACCTCCTCTAGCAAATCGTAGAATAAACTGGAAGAAGTTTAAGGCTGAAATGACAATGCACCCACTCAAACACCAAGCCATCACTAATCCAAAGGAGATTGAAGACAATATCGAGAAACTAACAAAATCCATACAAAAAGCTCTTTCAAACAATTCCTCCTTATTAAATCAACCAAACAGGACACCCATCTCACCGGAAATATTATTAGAAATAGAAACTAAACGCATCCTAAGGAAACGGTGGCAACAAACCCATGACCCAACATACAAGAAAATGTACAACGCACAAATCAACTATGTTAAAAAACTATTACAGACCCACAGGCAAGAAGAATGGGACACCTTTACTCAGACTTTAAATTTCGAAGACAAATCAATTTATAAGCTAAACCGCAGGTTACTACGGAAAAAACCGGCATGCGCTCCACTGAAAACAACAAGTGGAATACGTATCTTTGACGAAAAACTGAAAGCTGAACTTTTTGCGGACACGATGAGTACTCAATTTTCAAATAATCCAGGTCCTCCAAACAAAGAAGTGGAACACTCCATCCAAATAATCAACGACGACCAAACACCAAACAACGACTATATCACTCCAAATGAAGTCCTAGATATCATCAAGAAACTACCAAAAGCCAAAGCTCCAGGCATGGATCAAATAACCAATACCACCCTTAAAAACTTGCCCAGCTCATCAATTATAACTCTTGCCAGAATATACACTGCATGTCTAAGATACTCATACTTTCCGAAATACTGGAAAACCGCAGCTGTAATTATGATTCCTAAACCAGGAAAACTCCACTCGGCTCCAGAAAACTATCGTCCAATATCGTTACTCAATACAATGTCAAAAATTCTCGAAAAATTAATCTTGTTCCGACTGAAAAAATATATTGAACCTCGTCCAGAACAACATGCCTTCAGAACAGGACACTCCACCACACTACAACTAACAAAACTAATTGACGACCTATCTGTCAGCCAAGGCCGAAAACAGCGTACTGCAGCACTATTCTTAGATATGGAAAAAGCATTCGACAGGGTATGGCACAACGGTCTTATACACAAACTCCTCGGTACGAGAACACCCATTAACTTGGTAAAACTCATCAAATCATTCCTGACCAATAGACAATTCTTTATCAAGATATCCCACCACCAGTCAACAACAAGGCAAATCGAAGCAGGCGTTCCGCAGGGCTCATGCTTATCCCCACTATTGTATACCGTGTTCATCAACGACCTACCTTCCGAACCACAGGTATCAACATCTCTGTTTGCGGACGACACTATGTTTCACACTAGCAACAAAAACGCTACCTACGCTATACTAAGACTACAACGGCAAATAAACATAACAACGAGATGGCTCACTCAGTGGAGATTACGACTAAATGTTTCCAAAACAGTTGCAATTCTCTTTGGAACGAAAGCAACAACTAAATTAAAGAAAATTACGATCCACAACACGGAAATCAACTGGTCAAGAGATGCAAAATATTTAGGAGTAACATTAAACAAGTCCCTAAGTCTCCACAATCATATTGAGGACATAATTAACAAGGCCAAACGATCAAGAGCGGCACTCTATCCGCTGCTAAATAGCAAAAGCCATATCCCAATTAATGCAAGACTATCTCTATTTAAAATATATATAAGGCCCATCCTCCTCTACGCCGCACCTGCATGGGGGCCTAAAATTAGTAGGTCAAACTGGAAGAAGATCGAAGCCGTGCAAAACGTAGGACTAAGATCAATAACAGCCATTCCACCATACCAGTCAAACAAATCCTTACTCGCAATAACTAAAATCCCGTCAATAGAGGAAGATGCCAGGAAAGCCACTACGATAATGTTTAATAAAAACACAAGATCCCTCTACCCACACATTCAAAAATTAGGAGTACCAGACCCAGAAGACCCTATATGTAAATCAAGACCTTTCTACTTCAAAAAATAACACCTAAATAAACAAGCCAAAACTCCGAGAATTACATCATACAGGAAGACAAAGACATAAGTCTGGTACTTCCCATTAGGCCACAGGCCGTCACTCATAGCAATAGCAATAGCAATAACATGGCCGCGATGTGTGAAAATTTCTCAGCCAAATCGACAGATATTGGATGGCGATCAACGCCAAATCTCAAGTTTAACCGTACCAATGATATACGAAGACCGGAATCGTCGAAAAATTTTGATTCCAAAGGCTTTCTGGACGGCAGGCTCTGTGTATCTGAGCCAAACATCCCTATACATCCAAAATTAGCTGGCGAGACAGCTGCAGATATTGGGTGGCGATCAACGCCAAATCTAAAGTTTCAGCAGGTCACCAGCGATGTACGAAAACTGGAATCGTCGAAAAATTTTGATTCCAAAGGTTTTCTGGACGGCAGGCTCTGTGTATCTGAGCCAAACATCCCCATACATCCAAAATTAGCTGGCGAGACAGCTGCAGATATTGGGTGGCGATCAACGCCAAATCTGAAGTTTCAGCAGGTCACCAGCGATGTACGGAAACCGGAAAGTCCGAGACACATACGTCCTCGTCGTTCATTTTGGCGCCAGGCAACGAAATTTGTCAGGCGGTTCCTTTGTTGTTGTGTTTCTGTTGACAAGATAGACCAGTAATATGTATATTATAGAGTTTAAAAGGTTTTTAAACATCCCCTCCTCTCCCACCGTTATCTCACTTTTGTGTTCGCTGGTACTATTCTGAAACCGTTTATCATGTCCTCCATTGTCATTTGTACCAAGTTAGTGTAGGTTTGCCTGACGTATTTCATGCACTGTACGTCTGTACCATCGTCGGATCTTCGCCACCTGTTTTGTTCTGTATTAACTAAATTAATATTATTATATTATTATGTTACTCATATTAAACGTATTATTATAAAATATGTACTATGTATTAATATCTATCTATTATATCTACCTCATTCGCTTTGCATAAATATATGTAATAATCCTATATGGTCACGCAGGTGGATATTGTATTGTCATGGATGTCATCGATTTTCATGATAGTAAAAAAATTAAAAATTATCTATACTAGAGTGATTTACTTCACCTTCCGTTTAACCACCCCAAAATCGAGCCATGTACGGGTGCGCATAATATTATATGAGCGATATATTATAAGTCCACGCCTCTTCGTTTCGAGTCTAGTGGTAACGATTTTAGACGTGTTTTTAAAATACACGTGTACACGAAGTTCGTGTATTTTAAATACACGTGTAATTGATTCGTGTATTTTAAATACACGTGTAATTGATTCGTGTATTTTAAATACACGTGTAATTGATTCGTGTATTTTAAATACACGTGTAATTGGTTCGTGTAATTAATATTCCATGAATAAAAATTATATTTATTAAAAAATATTACGCTTCATAATTTATTAGTATTTATAACTATTTATTCAGTACTAACAATAATAATAACATTTGAAACAATATTAATACTAATAATAATAATTTAACAAAAAATGAATACAGGAAAACAACAAAAAGTACCTATTTAGTACCTAAAAAAATATTTAATTATAATCCAGTTAATATTAAATAATAATAAATAAATAATTTTAATATATCATACTTTAATAGATAGCTTTAATTTTAAATCATCAGCTGTTTATTCTGATGCAAAAATACAAGTAAATTTACATTTTCTGGTGATAAGGAAGCTCTTTTTCGGGTGACTATATTACCAGCAGTTGAAAAACAACGTTCAGCACTCACTGATGTTGCAGTAATTGCCATATACTTTTTAGCAAGTTTACCTATTGTCGGATATTTTGAATATCGTGTTTTCCACCACTCTAAGGGATCTAATGTAAATCTCAACTGCGGTTCTGCTAAATAGTTTTGAAATTCTTTTGTTAGATCATTTTCTTCATTGTTGATTCCAAATATATATTCAAGATCACTTCTATGTTTATTTTGTTGTTCTTGAGAAGCTGTAGTTATTTCATTGGGCTCGAGATAATTATTTTGGTTGATTATTTGTTTTATTTTAGAGCGGATTGCCTCATGATTAGATAATACTTCGTGGTCTAAGTCTTTAAATCTAGGATCCAAGAATGAAGCAATTTGTTCTAATAATACAGATTCAGTTGAATCCCATTCAAGCGAAAAGCGGCGTTTAATTTCTGAAGCTAATGTTTGTTTCAATGTTTGTACAATGGTATCTTCATTTTCATGACATTGCATTAAATGTTTTTCAATAATTTGTTTTAATAATGGTCTAATCATTGATATTGACGAATTATTTTCCGTACAAAAAATGTTTGTAGTGACATATATCGGTTTAAGAAATTGTATAAGCGACTCGATAAATAACCATTCATGTTCTTTAATTTCGAGTTTTTGAGCCATAGATTGAGATGTTATAGTTCGATCTGCTAAAACATTGAATATTGCACATCTATTCAAAACGAGACGTTCCATCATAAGGTATATAGAATTCCACCTTGTCTTACAACTCTGAAGTAAAGTTGTTTTTGTTAAGCCAAGTAATTCTTGTTTTTCTTCAAGTGATGTTTTAGCTAATGTTGAATGTTTAAAATGCCCTACAATTTTATTGCATTGTTTTATTATATTAACTATATTTTCATTTTTTAAGACACAATTAACGGCAAGTTGTAGACTATGTGCTGCACATTTAACACTATAAATTTCGGGATTTATCAAAGGAATGGCATTAGTTATATTTTTCGCATTATCAGTTACTATTGCTAATATTTTGTTAGTAATATCCCATTTGCCAAAAGTATTTATAAGTTGTTCTGATAAATTTTCTGCAGTATGACGCTTATCCATTTCGTGTGTAGTCAATGTATATGATTTAGCACACCAATTAGAATCAATTACGTGAGCGGTCACTGTAATATACGATTCCTGTGAAATCGAGGTCCAACAGTCGGTTGTGCAACATATACTAGAAGCATCTTGCAAGTCGTTTTTTATAAGTTCTTCAATATTTGAAGATAATATTTTTAATCTAGTTTTAATTGCTTCTTCTTTGCATGGCTTGTAGTTTGGTTCTACTACAGACATGAAATCATGAAAACCATTACTTGAGCAAAATGACAATGGCAACTGATTTACAGCTATCATTTTAGCTAATGCTTTGTTAATTAATTCACACCTGTCTTTCGAACAAGAACGTGCATTATTGCCATTGTTTGTGTTTTGATAATGTATATTTGTTCGTCTCTTTCTCTTTCTTGATCTTCCATTTTTTTCAAGGTTTATTTCTTTATTTGTCTCATCAATATCCATAACTTCGTCACTGTCGTTTTCCGGTTGCTGTTCATCGTGTGTCCTTGGTCTAATAATAAATATTTAAAAAAAATTCGGTTTATAGTTTATTTAACTTATTTATTATACTTATATTTTTATTTACTACTAAGAAAAGTTTTGCACTGATTTTTTATATTTTAGATTCTAAGTGAAGCGAAATGTATTAAGTTAAATTTAAGTTTTTCGTATGTAGGGACACAATTATTAATAACAGAAAAGATTTGAGTATACAAAATTGAAACGTTACTACCAAAGTTATGTATAATCTGCTTTAAATTTAAACATTTTAAACCAATTATAGTATATAATGTATATTACTTACTGTTCTTTATTAATCACAGCATTAACCATTAAGCCGTGAATAGTAGTTAAATGTCTTCCCAATGAGCCGGTGGTACCTCCGGGACAAGAAAACTCGTTATTATCATCTTCATCGCATAAATTGCAGTACGCTTTATTTTCAATACGTTTAGCATACTGCCAAACCCAACTTTTTCCACGCATTGACATTTTAGTATTTTACCAATGTACAATATAACAGACATGTATCCGTGGATCGTGCAAACGAACAACAAGTAGAATAAATTTGTATAATCCGAAAAAGCAATACAATTTAATTTAATTTGAACGCGGCACGTGGTACCGATTTAACTTTATCTTATCGAAAACTCGATAAACGTGTAGTCAATAATGCACTTGAATATAATATACGAGTATAATAGTATCTAGTATATAATGTGTTATATACTACATAAATGTTGGTAAAAATATTATTTATAACTTTATAAAGGTACATATTTTATATATTATTCGATACCTAAAAACTCGGACGTTTATAGACTCCGCCGAAAAGGTCTTTTTATCTGTAATTTTGTATTTTTAATTGTATTCTTATAAAAATATATAAACCTTTATTTATGACATATTTATTATTTACACGTGTACTTAAATAACACGAACTTGTACACGTGTAATAAATAATAATACACGTGTATTAAAAATACACGTATAATTTTAGTTACACGAACTAATACACGTATATCAAAACTACACGAACTACACGTGTAATTTCATACACGTGTAATAGGGACCACTAGTTTCGACTAGTTACGAATTATATTATAGTATTTATCTATTCGCAAACAGCTCGGTGTTATATGCCTGCGGATAATGTTATTTGTTCTGCATCGTGATATGGAAATAACCGAATACACACTGAAATAAACGTGCAACCATGTAGAAGTCTCTGCGGCAAATACCGCGCCGTAAGTTTGAGCTTCAGTGGTAGGTAAACATCAATAGGTACTCTTAAAAATCGTGAGCAGTACTTAGAAGACGCTCCAGGCGTGATATTTCCATATTTTGTCAATTTTTGAACATTAAATGCTTATAAAAAAAAACTGTGACTAAGGATTTTTAATATTTTTTATCTGCCTTTGAAAAAATAAACTAGAAGTCTTGTATTAAATTTTCAAGCTTTTTTAACCAACAAATTTTATTTTTATATTAATAAATTTTATTGATATTTTTAGAAAAAAAACTAAAAAAAATGGAAAATGAAAATGTCCCTAAACAGTTCAAAATAAATCAAAATATTTTGAAGATGTTATCGTGTATAGAAAATTCAAATATAAACAATCAGCGAACATTTCATGTATCTACCGTCGTTTGTTTTAAAGTTACACCAAAAACCAAATTCGATTTTTTTAAAAATCAATTTTGTGTAAAAATTCCCGTTTTTCCTTAATTTTTCTTATGTTTTTCTTGGCGCTTTTGAAAATTACTGGGAATTTTAAATTTTGACCTCCTTAATGCACCATGGATATTAACTTTCCAATCGAACAAGATATTGAAGTTGAAAGTCGAAGCATTATTTCGACTACTTATCGTGTACACAGACACAAAAAAAAAATAAAAAAAAACACACATCATTTTAAAATCAATACATTCATCGTTCCACTCAGAATCTAAAATACACATCAATGTAAAATCAATAGATTCATCGCTCCGCTCAGAATCTAAAATTATTACCTTGCAAGCAGTGTTGGGTAGTAAAGTTACAAAAGAAACGCGTTAGTGTAATGGCTTTACTTTGCTTGTAATGTGTTATGTAATTTAATTAGAATTATTTCCAAGTAATGAAAATGTAAAGGAAATTCCATTTGAAAAGTAATTTCTATAGAATAACGCGTTACAGTTTCGAGCTTTCTGCTACCTACTCGAATTGAAAAAAATATATATGGGTATGTATAATGAGGGTATAATTATGTATTTATGTTTACCAATCTAATGTGTATATATATTTAATTTATTTTAATTCCACAATTCAGTTTTCAATGGTTTTGACATTTGAAATGTCTAATCGCATCTAAATCATGAGAACAGTTAATTAAATATATTATTTAATTTGATTCCTTTAAATAGGTTTCCTTTGAATATCTTGTATGGAAGACTAAGTTTTATACGATCCTATTAACTATTATACAATATACAGGTTTTATAAAGAATTTGCTTGTTCAATTTACCTGCAGAAGATATTTGCCAAGAAATTAAAAAAAATTTTTTTTTTGTAACGGGAAAGTAATGAGTTACTTTTCTATTTGAAAAGTAAAGTAATTTCATTACAATTTTATTTGAGTAACGAGTAAAGTGACTTAATAACATTTATCTCTTAGTAAAGAGTAAAGTAACTTAATTACTTTTTAAAAGTAACTTACCCAACACTGCTTACTAGCAATTTAAATAATCATGTATATAATGTTCGCAAACCGTATGCGTCGTAACGGTGCATAGTACTACTGCATACCTACCTCTATAATATTATATTTGCGATCTATCATTGTATATTAGGTAAGAAACTAAGATTATCATAGTTTTTATGATGTTATAAAAGCATAAATATTGTATGTGTAGGTAAGTACTACAAGTCCATATTATATAAATATAAAAAATTATTGATAGTATAATATTATATTTTAATTACTGTTTTTACTAGTTGTCCAATTATATTTGAATAAAATATCGATACAAGGCTACTTTATTATTTGGTTATAATTATTGCTAATTATTTTTGGAAATTATAACAATAGTATTCGACATTGATTCCACACGACTTGTGTTGTGTAAAACAAAATGTTTGGACATATCATAATAAAACGGTTTTATCAGTTCGAAATTTAGTTCGGAAAGTGTGGTGGGAAAACAATTCGAGCAGATCAGTCCAAGTAATCTATGTTAATATAAAATATGATTTAATTTGATCGTACAATATTGTAGTACATTAAAGTAGTTGCAGTAGTGAGTAGGTACCTACACGCGTTACACGTCTACATGTTCTGTAATCGGAAAAATACATCGGTGACTGAATATCTCAATTGGGATATTTCACAGGTAATAAATTAAAATTTATATACTTAAGTGCACAATCACCAGTAATTATTCATCAATATTTGTTTTATGAATCTACATAATAAATTGAAATTAAAATTGAATTAATTATTTTTGTATGAAACGTATTCTACGAGTAATTTGGAAGTATATAATTAAGTTTAGGATTAAAATAATGTATAGCTAAGTATATCTTCCTAATATTTTTTTCTCGTAAGAAAGGGTAAAAAGTTAAACAAATTAAAAATCCATAATTTCGATCAAATGTCAATACTATATTAAGAATTAACTGATTTAGTTTGTAGGCAGTTATAAACTACATTGACTTGTTGTTATACAGAGAAAAAAATGTTATCATAAAATAAGATAATGCTGAAACCTAATTTTAGATGTTTGATCTTATCAAGAACCATGTAGGTAATTAGATAACTATGAAAACAAATTTAAATTATATGTTAATAAATATAAACTATTTGATGTGCCTTACTGTTTCTCATGTACCTACTACATTTCAAATTTAATTAAATCGTATGATTTATTACAACAAATACTATTAACTAATGATTATGATAACTATTACTGCAGTGTATTGTAAACAATTATGTAATGCCTAATAATTTGGATCATGTGCTCTAATAACATTTCTATGTGAGATAAACTAATCTGATTGTTTAAGTCTTGTCCATTGATAGATCCTCAAATGAATCTAGATAGGTAAAAAATATTCGCAGCATTAATTTGATATATTTCAAACTAATAAAATTTGATTAAAATAGTTTTTAATACGATTCTTGGATCTGTAGACCTGTTAAATTAATATCAAAAATACTTAGGTACCTACTGAAAAAGTGAAATGTCTTAATATAATACTAAAACTATTTGGTACACACTAATTAAAAAAATTTAAAAAAAAAACAGAGATAGATTTATAAATGTGCAAATATGTTTGCTGCAACAGCTATATTTTTCACAAGAATAGAAAATATTATTGGGAAATAATACCTCTTGAAATAAATCTCAGAAAAATATCGTAATGATTAAACATTTTCCATTGGTAACAAATTATATGCATACTAAAAAAAAAATGATTATCGATCATTATAATATACGTTTTACATGTGAACAAATTATCAGTAACTGCGTTATAACCTATTATAGATAAAACTTAAGATGCAATCGTATAACATGTTTAATTCTCGTTAAATGGTGAATGCTGATACTTATATAAATAAATTGAATATTATATCAATTATCACACATCGACAAAGTGTGTAATTTTTAATAACTCAAGAATGAGTAAGATGTTAAAATCTAAACAATAACTAACCGACATTCATAAATTCGATAATTGTACATTTGTAGCTAATATATATGTAGATAAAAGTATGCAGAACTTACTGTGTTGCATACAATTCGATCAAATCTAATGACTCAGTTATAAATCGAAATATATTCAGAAAAAATATCTATAGAATAAAATAATAGTACCTCCAGTCAATGATAGCTGCTGAAAAAAAAAACTCTAATACAAAATATCATCGGCTTTGTGGCAAGACCGTGTAAGTAAATTTTATCAAATTATACAGGAAAAAGGAAAAACCATGATAGGCTAAAATATTTTTACGCATGTTGACTGAGATACGAGGTTTTATCTTTGTAATTTATCATATAGAATAACTATCAAATATTATCAAAATATACTATAATGATACGAATACGCAGAAAAAAAATTTATCCATGGATAAAATGCATTTGAAAAAAAAAATGTAAATTTTTTGACTTACGAGGACTTGCCACGAAGCCGACGATATCTAACTGACAAAAGAAACCACAGATTTCTATACTACACTAGATAAGGAATAAATCTATTATTTACATTGTTATGAAGTGTAGCTCGGCAGTGGACGAGTCCTCCATTTCGTCGGTTAGCAAAACATTTAATTCATAATACAACATTTATTAGGAAAAACATCGTTTTTAATGGTAAAATAAAATATTAAATGTAAAATTATTTATTGCCAACCGACCTTGATGCTTCAATTCATAGTGGAAGTTAGCTATCTAGTACTATATTATATAAGAAACACGAGTCAAGAAAACGGCTGTTACGGCCAAGTGGCATTTTATAACAGCTATACAAATAATAAAGTGGTTTAACATTAGATAAGTTCTATACTATAATCGATGAGAATATACTAATTACAAAAAAAAAAAAAATTATTTCATTGATTATTGGTCTGTAGAATTATCTTTATCTAAGTTTAAATTGCTATATAATTTAAGGTTATGCATGTAAAATTCAGTTAATAAATTGCATAATTTTTTCTACAAGTATTTTCGACAGGAAATACTTTCTTTGAGATAATTTTGCAGGAGTATGTGATCGTCACCACAAGGATTTAAGTCATGATATTTTGATTGGTAAAAAAAAATACTCTATAATGAATGAATTGTAATATTTTACCCATAAACAATAAAATATTAATGCTTTGTATGCACTTCTAATTCTAAACACTTGCACAAAATTGAAAAATATAAAATATGAGACATTTATTATTAATCATTATATATTATTATTATCTCCTAGGAATATTAAAACCGTTAGAATGGTAATCTTTTTCGATTCTGACAATTATTCTTTGCAGTTTGATATTATTTTATTGAACATTTATATTATTCTTAGAGTGTAATATATTATACACATATAATAAATGGTATTGTGCCTCAGCGAGGCACAGAGGCTGAAATCAAACACTCAACATGTTTGACATGTTTGAGAGTAACGCCTTGTCAAACGTAAATCCGGCGAGTGCTACAAGTGAGTGCGATTTCTATTCTGACCGTGTTGTTCCAATTGCATCGGACGCATTTATGTTGGACACGGCGTAAGCAACGGCCGCTGCTACTAGTTGCCGGATGGGTGACCACCCGGGTCCATAGTGGCAAAAACCTTGCCACACATACACGTGTCTGTAGAACTTTTAAATAATAAATAATAAATACTATTTTGACACTATATTATTTTGTAGTATAAAAATTGTGTTTATAAATTAATTGTTTGTGCAAGATAAATAAAAATGTTATGAATGTTCATATTATAATTCATTGGTTGGTTTGATAAGCAAAATACGTACTAATGTTCCCATGTCCAATGTTTGTAATTCGTATACGTAGCAAATTAAAGTGTACAGAATATAATTTGAAGTACATTTTTCTAGGGTTTCTAAAACTGGTATAATATTACGGTACAATGGAAACGAACGAACAAGTAAAAAGTTTCACTCCGGAAGACGAAGACGATCAGAGTTGGCGAAGAATGGGGTTCGGTTCCAGAGTAAAATATGTCTTCCGAAACATCACCGTGGAACCGCTGTTGGCATTCTTTCAGGTGTCGTCCGTCTTATCGAGTTTGACCACACAGAATCTCAACCTGCAAAAGGCATGCAGGGTAAATCTAAAGATGGACGACTACGTCTGTCATGGATTGGAAAACAAGAACATGTCGTTATACGCCGATCAAGAAGTCCAAGTGCAGCAGCTGGTCGCGGACATGCTCATTTGGCAAACGATGATTCAGAGCAGCATACCGTGTATACTGGTCATATTCATCGGGTCGTGGAGTGATCGAAACAAAAAACGCAAACCGTGTATGCTCGTCCCAGTTATCGGTGAAATCGTCAGAAACATTGGCTTGTTACTTTGCGTGTTCTACTTTGACGAGCTGAGGATGGAGGTGGCCGGTCTAGTGGAATCGATACCCACGTCCATGGCCGGTGGACTTACCGTTCTATACCTGGCCGCATTTTCTTATATAGGGGACATAAGCTCCGTGAGTAAAAAAGCCCTCTTTATGTTTGACCAAATTAATATTAATTACACCTTTCACTAATACAAAGCATTAACCTGCACATAGTACAAGGGTCGTATTCCTTGGTATCTACGATAAACGATTGTTACATCCATGATTATTTTATTATACACAATGATATGATTTAGTGACAGTTTAACAATTTTTTGTAAGTGATAACAAAGTTCACATAGACATTTTTAACGTTAGAATCTTTATTAGGGCCTATATAATATTATATGTGCAAATGTATATTTTTTTTCTGTTCAGCTGTTTTAATTTAAACGATGTTGATAAAAATCTTTACGTTTCATCATGTTTAGATTTTAATGCTAACATTTAGTTTGGCTTACTTTGCGATATTTGAGTCAATATTGTCTATTGAAACATATACATTTCATATGTTTGAATAATAAAAAAAAGTTTCAAAGGTACGTACTGCATTTATTTAAAATATTTAAAATGTGTTAAAATAATATAAAAGTTCTTGAAAATACAAGTCCTTACTACTGAAGTTTAACATTTTCAAACTCTATTAAAAGTTAACTGTTTAATTTGTATATTATGTGTATACTGTATACTATATAAAAGACTATATTCAATTGTAGATTTTTAATCACATTTCTTATTTGAAAATATAATACTAAATAGTAAAGACTACCCTGGTTAGGTTAGGTTATAAAAATATCCTGGTGCTAATGATAAGTGTACACAATAAAGATTATTTATATTTTCAGCTGAAAAACCGAACTCTCAGGGTAGGTTTAATGAATTTATTCTTTGGAGTGGCTTGGCCAGTCGGTGCTGCACTTTCCGGTGTTTTGTATCAAAAAATAGGATTCTTCGGAGTGTACTATATCTCTACAGCGTTGTACATAATAGCTTTTATCTACGGCTCAGTCAACATCAAAGAAAATCCAGGGCCGTTAGAACTAAAAGAGCCTACGCAGACGTCTAAACCTTGCATGCATCTCGTGGTCGATTTTTTCAATCTAAAACATATCAAAGAATCATTTCAAACAACGTTCAAAAAAGGACCGAGAAGAAGATGGACGAAAATTCTTATGCTGATGTTTACAATAGTTCTCATCCAAGGGCCTTCACATGGTGTGTATTAAAAATATTATCTTTTATATTATAATTTTAGCTGCTCAGAGTTCCGATGTCCGACTGTGAATGATTTATTGTAAGCAACATATTATGTTTAAAATAAATAATTATTAAATAAATAATTTTTTATTTTTGTTAGATGAATTAGGTAGTTCAATAGATTACTATACCAGATTCGCTTAAGTCATATTGGAGGGTTTCCGAAAGTTGTTAGTTGATAGGGACTTTTGGTAATTAGGATAAGGGGTTTTGAGTGAGAGACTAATATTTGTTGAGAAATCATTTTGCTTCACCGTACGCTAACGCCAAACAATTCATAACACAATTATTTCAGGAGAATCTGGAATCGCCTACTTTTACACGAGAGTTCGTTTCAATTGGAATGAATTGGACTACAGTTTATTCTCGACATTGTTATTTATTGCAAACATTGTAGGTAAGGACAGTTATTTGTATTTAAAGGAACTAATACATTTATAGTGTGTATCAATTTTATTTTAGGTGTTGGATTCGCGATAGGAGTTTTAAGCCACTTATTGAAACTAGATGACGCACTCATTGGAGTGATCGCTTGCCTCAGTAAAGTATTCGCTGGATTAGTATTTGCATTTGCACCTTCAGAATTCTATTTTTACATGGGTAAGCATTTATTATATTTTTAAAATAATAAATATATTAATATAATTGATGTACAACATTTTTTTTGAACAAAAATGATAATATGTATAACCTGTGTAAACTTAATTACAATAAACGTATTGTTAGGTTAAGTTAGAATGCATTGATTTGAGGGTTTCTATTGACACTACTTTATATTTTTTATGATTTATTCTTTTGTCAGGGAAAGATCAAAATATGAGTTTAATACTTTTAATCATTCAGAACGTCTTTCGGCCATTTACGTTTAAGCTGACGAGTTAGATTGTTATGGAAAGGTATAGAAGATAGGTTAGATATAACTATATAAGTGGCTTAGAATGATTATAATAGTATTTGTATAAAATTGTTTGTAATAAAATACGAGTGAAACGATGAATGTATTGATTTTACAATGATGTGTGTTTATTTATTTTTTAGATTCTGAGTGAAACAATGAATGTATTGATTTTACAATGATGTGTGTTTTTTTATTTTTTTATTTTTTTTATTTTTTTTGTATCTGTGTACACGATAAGTAGTCGAAATAATGCTTCGATTTTCGACTTCAGTATCTTGTTCGATTGGAAAGTGAATATCGTTGGTGCATTGGGGAGGTCAAAATTTAAATTTCCCAGTAGTTTTCACAAGCGCCGGGAAAAACAACATAAAAATTAAGGAAAAACGGGAATTTTTACGCAAAATTGATTTTCCAAGAAATCGATTTTGGTTATTGGTGTAACTCTAAAACAAATGAACGTATATACATGAAATTTTCACTGGTTGTTTATATTTGCATTTTCTATACACGATAACATTTTCAAAATATTTTGATTTATTTTGAACTGTTTAGGGACATTTTCATTTTCCATTTTTTTTTAGTTTTTTTTCTAAAAATTTCAATAAAATTTTATTTGTTGGTTGCGAAAGCTTGAAAATTTAATAGAAGGCTCCTAATATGTTGTTTCAAAGGCAGATGAAAAATATTAAAAATCCTTAGACACAATTTTTTTTTATAAGCATTTAAAGTTCAAAAATTGACAAAATATGGAAAAATCACGAAAATTAGCAAATTATTTTGAGTTAAGAATTCGTAAAAATTTTTCTTTTTAAATCTAAGATTTGAAAATCTAATACAAGATTACTCATAAGATTGTCTACTTTTATCAATAAAAAAATTTCTACCGGAAAGTCAAATTAAATTTTTATGAGCATTTGAAATTCAAATTTTTACAACATTGGATATTCACTCGATTTCTCATGTGGCAATTTCCTTTTTTTGTTGTAATTAAAAAACGAATTACTGTAGATACATGAAAATTTCACTGAATGTTTATATTAGCATTTCCTATACACCCTACAATTTTGAAAATATTTTGACACTTTTTGAGCCGTTTACGAACATTTTCAGTTTTCAATTTTTTTAGTTTTTTTTTTCTATAAATATCAATTAAGTTTTATCTGTTGGGCCAAAAAGTGTAAAAATTTAATACAAGGCTCCTGATATATTGTTACAATATAAGTTGAAAAATATTAAAAATACATAGGCACAATTTTTTTTTATAAGCATTTTAACATCGAATTTTGATAGAATTTTTCAAAATCTCGAAAATTATTAATCATCGTAATTAATAAATTATAAAATGTTCAGTTTTTATAGCTAAGGATTGAAAATTTAAAACAAGATTCCACGTAAGTAGTTAATTCTCTTACCGAAAAATCTAAAAAATATACAATCACAGTTTACTTTTATAGTCATTTTATGTTCAAATTTGGACGAAATTACATATTAAAAAACCTAGTTATTTTGTTGTGATTATATAATATTATTCGTGGGTACCTACTTGAAACTTCTAAAGTGTACTATTATATATATATGATAGTATCAGGGTTTGTTGTTGATGTTGATGTATAACGTGTTATAAGTACCTAATGGATATTGTGATAATGTGATATGATTAATTTGGAATTTATTATAGGTCAATTTTTTTTTTAATACCATAGATATGTATATAATTTGTCTTAAACCTAGACTGACATACCGTCTTCGCTCAGAATCGTTTTTCTTATACAATGATATTGTATCATTGAATTCAAATTTAATAGCATCCATTATACAGTGACCCACTTGTAACCTACTGTACAGCAGAGCGACATCCACTTACCCACCTTTTTTGTGTCTGTGTACACGATAAGTAGTCGAAATAATGCTTCGATTTTTGACTTCAGTATCTTGTTCGATTGGAAAGTGAATATCGTTGGTGCATTGGGGAGGTCGAAATTTAAAATTCCCAGTACTTTTCAAAAGCGCCAAGAAAAACAACATAAAAATTAAGGAAAAACGGGAATTTTTACGCAAAATTGGTTTTCCAAAAAATCGATTTTGGTTATTAGTGTAACTCTAAAACAAATGAACGTATATACATGAAATTTTCACTGGTTGTTTATATTTGCATTTTCTATACACGATAACATTTTCAAAATATTTTAATTTATTTTGAACTGTTTAGAGACATTTTCATTTTCCATTTTTTTTTAGTTTTTTTTCTAAAAATATCAATAAAATTTTATTTGTTGGTTGCGAAAGCTTGAAAATTTAATAGAAGGCTCCTAGTATATTGTTTCAAAGGCAGATGAAAAATATTAAAAATCGTTAGTCACAGTTTTTTTTTATAAGCATTTAAAGTTCAAAAATTGACAAAATATGGAAAAATCATGAAAATTAGCAAATTATTTAGAGTTAAGAATTCGTAAAAATTTTTCTTTTTAAATCTAAGATTTGAAAATGTAATATTCAAATTTTGAATAGTTCCACTTTTAGTACTTAATAAGTGTGGTAACCTATAATAAGTGAATGTGTAATACATAATATGAGGGGTACGCGAAAGTAAAAGTTTGAGAACTTTTGTTATATAGCTAATAGCTGTTGCCTATTACACATTTTGTATTATATCGAATACCTATTTTATTTTGGTTTCTTTTTTCAAACTATGTTATATTTTGTTAACAGGTGCTCTGGTTGATGTAATGAGTGGTACTACATATATAGTAATGAGATCGATTCTCTCAAAGATCGTACCTCATGCTGAACTTGGTACATAAATAATTTTCATTTTTTATTTACAATATATTTAAAGCAATCTCAATAATTCACTAATTTCCAGGTCAAGTATCAGCAATAATGGCAGTCATTGAAACAATAGTGCCTGTTGTGTACAAACCTTTGTACAGTGCAATATACAGAGCTACTCTGACCACGTTTCCAGGAACATTTTACGTGATTAGTTCGATAATGCTCACACCAGCCATATTTGTATATTGGTAACTAAAAATCACCAAAAATGATCTATTAATTTATTATATACAGAATAATTCTACGACAAATTACATAAATAGGACAATAATTATTATTTAACATTATCAGTTTTTTAATATGATGTTCCATTCAATAGTTATGATTATAAATCTTAATATGTGGCTCGGCGCGGCGCAGTAGCTAAAATCAATCAATGAGAGTAAGCAACTGCCACTAGTTCTCACTTTCTCAGATGGATAACCACCCGGGTTCGTAGTGTGCAAAAACCTTGCCACACATACACGTGTTCCTAACTGACTGTACCAACCATCCCAACCCAACTGTACCAACCCTACCAACCTAACAGGCTAATAACCTCAGTCATCGAAGTCTTAAACATAAAAAAAAAATCTTAATAATTAAGTCAAACATGACATAGGTACATATCATAAAATAAGTATTCGAGATTTGATTTTTTTTAATATTAATATGTTTTGGGCTGGCTACAACTTTAATTTCTGAATGATTTTCTTGAAGCCAATTTTCGTAACGGCTATAACATTTATTATTGTTATCATAGTAACTCCCTTCCCCCCCCCCAAAAAAAAAAAATATTTATTATTCATAGATATTCCTTGCAGAGATAAAATATCAATAAGTAGCGTGCTATATATTTTAAGATTTATGTACCTGTAATATTTATGAAAATGTGTAAAGGGTGGTGTGGTAAACTTAATATAGTCAATTACATGTACTGCAGCAACCACTCACATATCTCACGTAACCTAACATTTCTATCTTTGTCAACACGAAAAACAAAATAAAAACTAGTTTTTCTAAAACAATTTTAAATTGACATTTACAGGTGGATGTATCGTATAAATAACCAGGAAGATAAGAAAACACGTACTGTCGAAGAAATCAAATCAAATGATAATCTTGCCTTTGAAATTAATTGAAGACTATTTATAATATTCTAAAAGTTTGAATAGAATTGATTGAATTTTTATTTTATTTTTGAGTATCTATAGGAAAATTGTATATTGTTTATTTGTTTTAATTAAAAAGTGTTTCAAACTTCGTGTTTTCTGTTTTATATCATTTGTTTGTGTTGTTTGCACCTGTTATCTAATAACTTTTATTAATATCTGGGACAAGATAATATTTGATATTTATTATGTTATGAAAATAAATAATATCTTAAGACATCCTTATTCATTTTTGTTGTTTTATAATTGTAGGTACTGTACTGTGAATATTATAAACGTAATTATTTATATTAAAAAAAACATTTATAAAATTGTTATAAGTTAACTTATGTTCATTATACTAACTAACTTAGTTACTATTATTTCATTTAACCGTTATAATATTTATTTTTTTGTTTTTTTTTTAAATATTATCCATTGTATTGTTTTAATTTATAAATAAATTTGTATTACTCTGCTTTGAGATCTTAAAAACATTAGAAGAAATTTTATTTGTAGTCAACTCGTTAAAAATTAAAAAAAATTTTTATTTTGCATGCTTTTATGCTGAATATGAATATGAACAATCAGATTTTGACCATATCCTTTTAAATTATACTAACATTTTGTAAGTTAAAAATGTGATTTAACTCATACAAAGGAGTACCTATGGTACATAACCTACCTAAATTTATACTAGCCCAGTGGCGGCTCGTGGTATGGTGCAGCACAGGAGCACGTCGTGAACCTCCCAATATAAAGAAAAAAAATGTTAAAAAACAATTAGATTTATAATAGTTTATTTATAACATATAATTGATTATTATGTGCTAGGTCTGTAATAAAAAAAAACTTTTTGCAGTTTTTCATATTGAGAAGTGTATCTATGAACGAATAAATAATTCGGGGAGCACAAATTAGTTGTGTTCCGGGCTGTCGTGTAAATATTATATTTTCTTGTCTATTAAATAGAACAGAGTTTATATCATTTTTGGTTATAGTATGAACTATGAGCTACTTGTCAAAAAGCTTATACTTAATTTTCAATCCTTTACTATAAAAATTGAACATTTTATAAATGTTTACATAATTATTTTCAAATTGTTGTTATTTTTACGAATAATTTGAATTACAGAGAAGTGGAAAATTGTATTAAATACATACACATTATTATTTGAGCTTATATAGCTTATAAAAAAATTTGAGTTATAGAGGTTCTGGCAAAAAATATTGAATTGTAGAGTGTCACCCACCGACAGATATTTCGAATAATCGAGGAGACATGTATTTTCTTCTAATTCATGAGCCCCCGCATGGACCTATTCTGTGGGACTCATTGTCTTGTTGAAAGAATAAATATAAATAAATAAATGAAGGTGGCTAAGTGGTAGTCGCTCTGCTGTACAGTAGGTTACAAGTGGGTCACTGTATAATGGATGGTATTAAATTTGGCTGGTACTGAATTGGTTCCCGTTTGAAAAAGGTATTTTATTAACGTAAGTCGAATTGGTTCCCGTTCAAAAAAGATATTTTATTCAGCTAAGTCGAATTGGTTCCCACTTAATTTGATTTGCAACAATTTGGAGTCCTATCAATATATTGACAAACCTAGCCCAAATTTTCGGTGGAAATATATTATATACTGTCTGTCGTTGTGTATGTATCATGACCATAGACAAAGAGCTGATCCAATTTTGGGCAGCAAGGTTTTATGGCCATCAAATCTTTATAAAATCAGTCTTCGGGTGATAATAATAAAGAACAGTCCAAAAAAATAGTTTCAGAAGTTGTCTAATTTCTGAATTACTTTTAAATTCATTGGAGAGAAAATTACGAAATTACGAAAAATTAAAATTAAAAAATGTAAATTAAAATACGAAATAAAAATTACAAATTTATATACATAGGTTATAGGTACTAAAGGAAGTAACACAATGTGTTAATCGTGACTGTACAGTGCTCACTAAAATTATTGTCATTCATACATGGGATATAGATTATAGACGATATACCATACAGCGATAAAAGTACGAAGGTATATCTCTATCGTTATCTTAATTGATCGGGTATCACCGATAATTTTCTAAACTTCCAACATAACAATGTATTGCCATATTGTGAAATATGGATTTTTAATATTTTTCAACTACTATTATAACAATATATCAGGAACCAAGGTATTAAATGTTCACATTGTTTTTTGACACAACGAATACAATTTTATTGACATTTATAGAAAAAAAACTAAAAAAATTGAAAGTTAAAAATGTCTGTAAACAGCTCAAAATGAGTCAAAATATTTTGAAAATGTTATCAAGTAAAGGAATTGATAAAATAAACATATATGTTTATATATATGGTGTAAATTTCAAGAATCTATAGTTATTAGTTTTTGAATTACAGAAGAATAAGAAATTCCCTGAATTTTTAAATCACCTGATAACTATATTAGATATCAAAAAATAAAATGAGAAGCAAAGTTTACCACCTCCACGGATAAAATAGGTAAAATAAAATAAAATTAATAAAAAATAAGGCAAATGGAAAAAAAAAAAATAAAAATAAATTGTTGATATTAAAAAAAAAAAACAAACACAACAAGGTAGTAAAAGAAATATTAATTAATTACAGATAAAATACTTAAAAACTGACTTGGACTATTTGATTTGGGTCCATGACAAATAATAAATAATTCCAAATTTTGGTTTTAAAATTTCTAAATTATTACGGATTTTAGGAAATTAATAGTTGGTATGTTCATTTTTCCTAAACTACTTGAAAGTTGGAACCTTCACTTTATAACATAATTGTTAATCACTTTTTAAATGAAAGCATTTATTTATTGATACTATTGACAATGCGCATTTGTACTATATTATCTAACAGAAGATTTTTATAGACTCATCGTAGATAAAGTGTATACTTACAGTTAATATTGACATATTATTTTATATTATGAATATAAGTATAAAACATAATTGAGTTTGTTTCATTACAAACTACAAAGTATATTTAGCGATTATATAAATATGAAATATAAATCAATTATGTTTTAATTGTTTTATACTTATATGCTATATGCATAATATAAAAGACTATATATACTAGTATACCTATGATCCAAACATTCCAAACTAAATCTTATAACCACGATTAAAGATATTATATATTTAATCGTGCTTACTGCTTATAACTTATAAGGATATTTCCCTATGGGCTATGCTTAATAGTGGGTTGATAAGTGTAGATAGATGGCTTATATCTTTCCTACGGATAGGTGTGAAAGGGTATGAGTGTTTGACAGTGGACGAGTAGTAGACGACTAGTGGTTCAATATAACTATTAGTATGACAATAAAATAATAAATATTTATTATAGGTACTTACTACGTTATCTTTTAGCTTGGACGAATGTACAGAATGTTTAACTCATGGTCTTTACAAACGAAAAACAGTTACGATTCCCCAAAAAACGCCTAACATTGAGGGCCTAAATCTTACCAACGGATTATTCAAAAATTAAAATTCAAGTATGAAAATTCGTAAGAATTTTTGCTTTATAATTTTTTGAAATTTTATAAACATAGATTGCCATTTAAAATTCAGAAGTTGAATTTGGTTTCATGTACAAAAATAAGGGTCAAAATAATATTAAGTAGTACAAAACATTCTAAAATTTTATGAAATTTTGATATTCCAAAAAGAAAAATTTTAATACTTTTTGAAATAATGAGTGTCTTAAGCTAAATGGATCAATCTATATAATGTTCGCAAATCCGAAATCGTAAGCACCTTAACGGTGCATACCTACGATTATAATATTATATTTATGAGTTATCGTAGTATATTGGGTATTATTGACTAAACTAAGATTAGCATAGTTTTTATGATGTTAAATTGGGTAAATATTAAAAACATAAAATATTTTATGTGTAGGTACTAGCCACTAGATAGGTATTACAAACCAATTTAACATCATAAAAACTATGCTAATCTTAGTTTAGTCAATAATACCCATTATATAAATATAAGAAATTAAACGATTAAAGATAATAAGGTATTCCATTTGTAAATGTGGATTCTGTGGTAATACTAATACTGTTAAACAAAACGTTTTTTGACATATCATAATAAAACGGTTTCATCTGTTCGAAATTTAATTCGGCGTATAGTTATAGTTGCTGCAGTAGTGAGTAACCTACACGTGTTACACGTTTACATATATTCAGCAATAGGATATTATATTATATTATATTTATATATCTCAATCGGGATACTTCACAGGTAGTACGTTTCAATTTATATACTCTTGTGCACAATCACCAGTAGTTATTCATCAATATTTGTTTTATGAATTTACTTAATAAATTTAAATTAAAATTGAATTTATTATTTTTGTTTGAAACGTATTCCAAGAGTAATTTGAAGGTATATAATATACTATATAGTTTAAGATTAAAATAATATAAAGCTATACCTAATTTTTGTCTCATAAAAAGTTAGGGGTTTAGGGCTTAGGGTAAAAATTTAAGCAAATTAAAAATCAGTGACTTCGATCAAATGTGAAACGGTGCACGTATTTCACTTGGCACCGTTGTGCAATAATGGAAAACTTCTTCGGATTTTAGTATAACAGATTGTTGTTTATTTCCATGGAATGATTAATTATTTACAATTTTAAAGGGGAGGGTTCGAGTGCCACCCGGCCGTCGGTTTCCCGTACAATAGTGTGAATAGTTTATGATATTAATTACAAGTCAAGTGGAAAGAATGAAGTTAATATACCGGGCCCGCTTGTAATAGTGGCGTTCGGTTTATGAACTTCGTTCGGGTAGCGTGGCCGTAACAGGCGCGCTTGAGGGGTCGAATTTGGGTGGTCGTCCTGAACGATTTTATTGGTTCCTGCGGTTACCCGACGGTATTAGCCGTCGGCCAGGATAAGTTCGGCGGAGGTGCTGCTCGTCAGTGCCGACGGAGTGATGTCGCTATGGCCTCGTGGCTGTGTCACGGCGTGTTCGACAGTCTTGCGGTCGACGTTGTGAAAAAGCTTGATGTCTCGTATCCGCCGCAGGCTGTCCGTGGATCGTCGATGGTAATGCCGGAACTCTTGGTAGCTTGTTTCCGCAATGGTCGCTTTACGGATCGTTGTGGCTCGTGGTCGTCGGGGCTGCGAAAGCGTTTGGTAGCTCGTCTCCACGACGGTCAGGTCTCGGATCGTCGTTGGCTGGTGCTGCTTCAGGTCCTTCGGGTTTGTTCTTGGTAGAATTGTTGAAGGTCTGAAGGTTTTGAATGAAGTGAAATACATTGGGGAACGCACCGGTATATATACCTGTTCACCGATGTATTCCGGTTTTTGACCACTTTAAATAGTATACTGTCTAAAGACGAATGTATAAATGGACATGTTATAATAATTGGTGATATGAACTTAAACATTATTGGATCTGGTTGTGATGAAAATTAATACCTTGATACTTTGTCGGAAAAGGGATTTATATCATTAATAAATGTTTATACTAGAACCCCAATTGGCCAAAGACATTCATGCTTTGATCATATTTTTATTAAATCTGGAAATGCATTGAACTCCAAAATATTGAAGCAGGTGTTATTCAGACAAATATTACTGATCACTTTTCCACGGTTTTGGCAATAGAAATTATTAAAGAAAAGAGTGAATTAAATGGTAATGTTAAAATAATAAATTATAACGATCTGGAAAAGTTATTTAAAGATGAATCATGGGTGGATATCTTTAGTTGTAAGGATGTAAATATTTGTATGAACATTTTTCTAGATAAAGTAAATACTTTTGTCAAAATGTCAACAAAAAAAGTTTTAAACTCCAAAAATAAGAGAATTAGAGAGTGGATGACAGCTGGCTTTCTTTGCTCGGTGCACTTTAAACAAAAATTATCTCTAAAAGTTAAAAAAATACCCAGATAATATAAGACTTGCTAAGTATTATAATAAATATAAAAATAAATTAACTACTATTATTCGAGCTGCAAAGATTAATTACTATAAAAACAAATTTCAGGAGGTTTCGTTTAATCCAAAACTCACTTGGAAGGTAATAAATGAGATTTTAAATAAGAATGATAATAATAATGATGATGTTAAAGTTATCAAATTAGATGATAAAACTTTCGATGTTAAAAATGAGAAATTCAATATTGCAAATATTTTTAACATCGAAAGTTAATGTTACTAATGTAAAATTATTAGGTATTCAATTTTTATATAGGTTATTTTGACGTACAAATAGTAGTTTTTGCTAAAAACTAAAAAAACTAAAAAAAATTTTTTTTTTAATTAAATTATTTTCAAAAAAATTTTACTTACCGCTACTCCGTTATCATTTAAGTATACAAAATTACATATTTCTATGGACAATTTTACGGCCTTTAATTTTTTTGTTCTATACTTTTTAGCCGTAAGTCTAAAATCAAACAAGTTATAGTGTAAAATTGAAAAGAGGGTACGCACCCCCTTTTTAAGGAATGGAGAGCTATGCACAAGGGGTATGTCTGGGGACTTTTAGTATGTCAATCAGTAAGCTATGGACTGAAAGTGTACCAAAATTCAGCTTTCGAGGAATTAGTTCCAATCTTTGTAGGTTTTTTGTCTAATTTGACAGGACTAATTATATTAATTATGTGTATTATATAATCAATGATTATACCTATGAACTATTGAATTTTATATTTTAATTGGAACATATTAGAAACATTATTATTATTAACATAACAATATTATAACGTTTAGTGAATTTTTTCAACTTACTCAATTTTATTTATATTACCTATTATTATTTTATACATCACTAAATCATGTTTAACCGATTCTATTAGCTCACTATTGATTCATTAAAATATGTTAAAATATATTGTTTGATGCTATTGTTTCAATGATAGTAATGATACATTATCTTTACAGTACTTATAGTTAACATGGACTGAAGACAAGTGTTTCTATAGATACTTTATTATTTAATATTTATTGTAAAACAAGACTGTTTTATTTATTTAATTTTTTCAATTTTATTCATGTTTGATGTTAATGTTGCTATGATACATTTATATTTACAGTATAATTAACATGGACTTCAGAAAAGACTTTTTATACTTGCCTTATTATTTAATTTTATTATACAGAGTGTCCCGTCAAGATATACCCATTAGCCGTAGAGGGGGGACTCGCCGCCCTGACAAAAACCGGTTATTTGCCATTTTACCTATAAACTAAAAAAATTATTAAAAATAATAGGATTAATGAAAATGAAATGTTGAAAAGCCAACATTTTCAAAAAAATTAACTCTACAAAACGGCAATCTTCAATATTTTTTTAAATAATTAATTTAAAAAATAATTTTTTAACTTTTTTACCAAAACATAAAAAAGAAATTAAAAATTAGTTATTTGCAGTGCTTACCTCTGTGAGACTTATTAAGAAAACAGAATTACGATATCTCTATTATTTCAGGAGATATCACAATGAGTAAATCCTCACGGGTCACCCTGTATAACAGATGTTATCATAATTATAAGTTTGCACAACTCTCCTTTAAAATGGAATGCATAGGCTCGAACAAATCACTGCTGGTACTATTGGTTAATGAATAATACTAAAGACAACATAAATTGTTAACCAATATCCAATGGCTTATTGTAGGTAAGGGTAGCTTAAAGGTATATTGCAATAAAATAAGTAAGAAAAAAATGAAACTTTTCAAATGTAGTTCCTAATTAAACATGGGTATCAATTAATGTTATTATATTTATTTTAATATAACACATTAAACTCAATACAATTAAAATTATAATAATAAATAAAAATTATATAAAGTAGTATATAAATGATATGTATATGTTCATGCTGCTGGCGTCAGCATTTCTGTCATTATATCTACAACAGCGACAGCGTACAGCACGCACAATGGGCAACTCTTTTATCCCCGCTCTTCCCGTCTCTTCCTATTCATTACAATATACTCGATCCACTCCATACAAAAACGTATTTATAATGTTTTTGCTCAATCAATGTAAACACCGCCATATTGTTTTATATTTTTTTTATTCTCTAGTTTTTTTACGTTGTGTCAACATAACCAACAGAAATCGTAATATTATAATACGTAGTACTGTGTGGTGTGTACTGGCGACGCTCGCTATTACAGCAGCTCCCGATCTTTTTTATTATTAATTGTGTACATACACGTTCTATCTTTTCTCATTGTTGTCATCAGTCAAATGACACAATAATCTTTGTAACCTTATCTGATTTTGCGGAGACTGAGTCTGCAGATCATTTACATAACGGATATCAATAAATCATAATATTTCGCTCAAAATCGGTGAGTACTTATTCATTTGGTTCCTTTTGTAATATCTACCTCTTTGTTAGAGAATCCGAACTGACTATCGCCAATAAGAATCGAACGTACGGTGATCATTACACTATCACCCGCGTTATTCTTGGCATCACTTGTCACTTGCGTAAGCCCGCCAGCAATCATTGTGTGTTGTGTGAGTGGCCGCCCAGGTCGTCCAGATGCAATACGCTGTGGATCGACCAATCTTATACCTCCACCTCAGTCATTGATGCGTGGACATTCTGGGGCATCAGTGGATATCGTGACAACTGCATATACTTCCGTAGCATAAGTTAGTTGTAAGATTATCTCCACCTGTTGTGAGCTCTGTGGTCATTGCACCAGACCGATCCGAGCACAGAGAGACCCCCGCTTATACGTAAATTGCATAATCCTATTTCCCATTGTATAACCTGTATCCTTCACACCTTCGCGTTTCGGTGCGTTCTGGTTCCTTGTTGTCCATCGTCGCGTCATTGCCAGCCACCATCAATCCGTTTAGCTGTGTGTTGGATTACATATATCTTGGGAGTAGGCGTCGTCGTCTTGTCACCTCTAACAACGTTAATCGTACATGCAACTTTGGTTGCCTATCCTTGACGCCGTCAATCTGTTCGGTAGATACAATCGCTACAAATTTATTCTATCGAGCTGGTCCTTCAAATCATCAAAATACCCTACAGTATAATACATTTTTGCATGCCAACCACATAAAAATGATGACAAATAATACAATATTTTAAGGATAGTTACACTATTTGAGGATATCACATGTATATGTGTAGTTTTCTTGTTTTGAAAGTTGTTCGAAATATTTCAAAAAATAATATTAATATGTGTAAGCCAATGTAAAGGTTAGTATATATAAAAATATAAGGTGTGAATTGCAGTAATTAAACTTGGTAATACATATACATATATATTAGTATAACGTTACATGTATGTTTTAAGAAATTAACATTGTCTTAACAATCGACACACCAAGCTCCTACTAAAACACTTAGCTTTTAAATAAATGTACTGCAAAATGTCTTTCCAATTCGTGCATTCAAACTACTTATGTATATATATTTTTAATATTATTGATATACATATTTTAGATAATAATGTAAGTATGTGCATTCTCATAACAGTGTAATGTACCTTTATTTATTGTACATTACATTTGCTTAGGTAGGTTAATTTTTAAATTATTAAATTAAATAATTATTACATTGCAAAGGATATATATATATATATATGCATATGTAACATTTACAATTTAATAAGTGAATATAATAATAACGTTTTAGAAGATAGGTTTAAAACGGTGATAGGTTGGTGATAGGATAGGATAGGGTGGTATGTATTTATTAATAATATATATAAATCATGTATAATACATTTTTACAATATTTTAAGCATAGTTTTACACCTTTGGAGGAATTTAAATTCAATTTATTATAATTTCATAACATATAATACCTATGTATATGTAGTTTTCTTGTTTTGAAATTTGTTTGAAATATTACAAAAAAATTAATATGTGTAACCCAATGTAAAGGTTAGTAAAGGTATAAGGTATGAATTGAAGTAATTAAACTTGGTAATACAATATATATTAGTAAATATATAATATAATATTACATAACATGTATGTTTTAAGAAATTGAAATGTATCTCATGTTTACTTATTATTACTTACGTCTTACATTATTATGTATGTAACGACATTGTCATAAACAATCGACACACCAAGCTCCTACTAAAACCTTTAGCTATAATAGTTAAATGTACTGCAATACTCATGAAAAATGTCTATCTAATCCGTGCATTCAAACTACTTATATTTTTAATATTATTGAAATGCTGATTAATTGAGGCTAGTAAATATAAAATTTTCTTAGGTACGATAATAAAATTCAAAATATTAACATTTACAATTTATATT